GGTTGAGCTTAGCTGTTGATGTGCGGCCTCGATTCAGCCCTGCAGGTGAGGGGATGAGCGCTGATCCAAAGCCAGGAAGCGCGTTTCCCTTTAGCCAACTGTACTGTGAGGGGACACGTTGAAATTTGGGAATGAGACTGAAGGATAAGTTTCCATGAAATTTTGGCTATAGACGTAAGCTACCAGAGAGTGCGGGGCTAACCATAAGTCCCCTCAGATTCTAAACCTCTGTAGGGCAGGCTAGACGCTGAATAAAAAGCCCAACCACCCTTCATTCTAGGACTTTTATCGAGAAAAATCAGAGCATGGATTTTCGTAAAGCGCCTAGACCACTTGTAATCCTCTTCAGAGTTAAAAGCAGTGGCTACGACCGCTGAGCGAGCAGTCGTCTCCAGCGTCACTGATGGAAATAGCTTAGTTGAGTGGGCCAAACGCCTTCTCACACCAATCCACCAATGACGCTGGCAACAACCGCCCGCTTCCAGCAGCCGTGCCCACTGCCTTCAAGAACAATTCTTGGTGGGTTTTTGTGCACTCTTGCAACTTGTTCATCAACGTACCTTCGAAGACACTTCTTGTTCATGCTAAAGGTTGGACAGGCAGGTCCAGCTACATCGAGCACAGCGACCTCAGCTTCAATGAACCTTATTCGGTCATCTACTTCGAGCAGCAAGGCCTAGAAGATCATTAGATAAAAGAAACATAGATATATGATGGCTGAAGTCGACAGTCGCATTACATTTGCAAGATATGACAACGCTAGCGAGTACATGCTCACTTTAGAGGAACATTCCACACTCGTCGCCTGGGCGGGGCCAAACTTGACATTCAACTCTGCTTATGGGGTACTGTCTGCTTCATCTTTTTCGTGAAGCAGTGCATGAATGAAGAAGGTTCAATGGTGTATCCCGCCCATACGACAAGCGTGGAATCTGTAATCATAAGTAGCAATATATGCGCTAGAGATGCCTCTACTCTATTTCAATCTGATTGAGTCGCAGGGAAAAGAGTCTTACTGCTTCTGCAAAGCCCCGACCATCTCAAAAACACCTCTACAATTAATACGAACAAGGCAGCTATCGATCAAACTAGTTATGCAGTAATAAAATGTCAACAAATTAATCATAATAACCTATGCAGTAATTACATGTTGGGTCGCTCGGCATGGAATGGTGTTGCGAATGCCACCTTCAGAACCATAAGAAAAAAAATCGGAATCAGAACCATAAAAAAATCAGGACCTAAGCTGACTGCGTGGACGGAGTCATCTGATGCACTGCTCCTCATCATCAGGGGTCCTTTTGATTG